GAAGACTGCCATGAAAGCATTTAAAGAATCAAGTCTCAAATGACAACTCAGGCATCGTCTACGATCATTTAAAAGCTCTCAACATGATCGAGTGAGTAAAGGAAGAAAAGAATAAAGAGAAAAGCAAGCGCATAAGCAAAAGCACGCATGTGTCAAAAAAAGTACATTACTTTTCAGATAAGGACAGCACTCTATAACTACGCAACCAAAAAAGGACAAAAAGGTTCCTAGGTCCCTACTAAACTCAGACACTGCTGCTAACAAAGCGAAGAAAACTTCACACAACGTCTATAAATAGGAAGTAACATTTAATGCGAGGCCTTCTGCATTAAATGAAAGATCAAACTAGTCATGAACGACTATATCAACTTTAACGGACACTTGCAACAGACAAATTTTACAAGACTATATATATATATATATATATTACAACTTCAAACCTGGAAAGGTTGGCTTTTGGCTTTTGGCTTTGGCATTGACGAAAAGTGATATCAAGCCCATAAAGAAATGAAACCAGAGACAGAGCTTATAGAGTCAAATGTACCATAGTGTATTAATATTTGTAGACTAAGGAGTCCTAAGTGTAACTTAGGAACATGAACCTTAGTGAGTGTAGTTATCTTTGTATCCTCTTTGTGAAAGTAAACCAAACACTCAAAATAAATCATATCATTTGTAAAGCCTGAAGAGGCTAGGGGAAAGAAATACTTGTAAAAGCCTGGAGAGGCTTGTCAAAGAATCCTCCCTGCGAGCCAGAAGTGGTTGAACAAAGAATACTAGTACTAATGAGTGAAGTTAGCGGGCTAGGAGTTGGTTGATAATACTCACTAAGAGGCAAAAGTGGCTAAACAAAGAATACTAGAGCTAGTGAGTGAAGCTAGCCAACCAGGAGTGGTTGATAATACGTGGGACTAGGCGAGCCAGAAGTGGTTGAACAAAGAATACTAGCGTCAATGAGTGAAGTTGACGAGCCAAGAGTGGTTGATAATACTTGGGACCAGGAGTGGTCGTGACCTGGGTGATCTATAATACTCATTGCGAGCTAGAAGTGGCTGAATAAAGAATACTAGCGTCAATGAGTGAAGTTGACGAGTCAGGAGTGGTTGATAATACTTAGGATCAAGAGTGGTCGTGACTTGGGTGGTCTATAATACTCACTGCGAGCCAAAAGTGGATGAACAAAGAATACTAGCTCTAATGAGTGAAGTTAGCGGGCCAAGAGTTGTTCGATAAAACTCACAGAGAGCTAGAAGTGGCTGAACAAAGAATACTAGAGCTAGTGAGTGAAGCTAGCCAACCAGGAGTGGTTGATAATACTTGGGACCAGGAGTGGTCGTGACTTGGGTGGTTTAGAACACTCACTGCGAGCCAGAAGTGACTGAACAAAGAATACTAGCATCAATGAGTGAAGTTGACGAGCCAGGAGTGGTTGGTAATACTTGGGACTAGGAGTGGTGGTGACCTGGGTGGTCTATAATACTCACTACGAGCCAAAAGTGGCTGAATAAAGAATACTAGCGTCGATGAGTGAAGTTGACGAGCCAGAAGTGATTGATAATACTTGAGACCAGGAGTGGTCGTGACCTGGGTGGTCTATAATACTCACTACGAGCCTGAAGAGGCTGAACAAACAATACTTGTACTTCATCGAATATCTAGTGGAACCCTTCATTTAAAGGAGACTAGAAGTAGCTTAGTTTGAACGAACCAGTATAAAAATCCTTGCACTGCCTATTTTCATTTTAGACACAATTTCACTTAACTGATATATTGTATTGAAAACTTCGTCCAATGATTATCCTTCGTTGTAACTATCTTCAGACGAAAGCTACATTTGTTTAATTTACCCTTTTAAGAAATAGTTTTCATTTAAGAAACATTTCTCGTGTGCAGACGATAATCCTTTAGACGCAACATCATTTGTTAAACTAACTTTGCACACTTTTTCAAGCAATCGAAATAGTACTTTTAATTGGACAAAAAAGAGTCTTCTTGCAAAAATTTTTTTAGAAATTTCTTTGTTCACACACACACATATTCAACCCCCCTTCTATGTGTTTTTCATCTAACTTCATTTTATAGTTTTACAATTTTAGAGTTTTTTTTTTCATATTTTTTCCTTGTAGTGAAATGCATCTTTGAAGGGTGGCATTGCTTTTCTGATAATTGATGACAATGAAACTTGTAGGAAGATGTTACTTTACGTCAAGTCATTTTCGTTTTTTCCTGTCTATTTGAAAATTTTCTGAATGTGTGTATCTTTAAATTTTTTATTTGTGTCAATGAGAGAATCTACTTTTAAGGAATTATGACAAATATTAGGTAGTAATTAATCCAACCACTATTGTGTTTCTCTTACTTTTAAATTAATTTTAAAATAAGTTAAAATTATTCATTAAAATAATAGAATTTTTTTAAAAAGGAATAAAAATGCATAAATCCTTGGAAATAAAAGATATATTAATAATTATAGATTTTTTTTTTATATTTAGTGCAAATAATTAATAATTTCACGCTACAACAACCACAATCCACATCGTAATACTCGCAACTACAGTCACCGCAACCGCAACCACAATTTAAAACCATGGTTCAAACCAAGTCTGATCTTGTTGACATACATGCATAGGTAACGTGTGCACATTTTCTATATGTACTACTTGCTTAACTCTACATCTAATACTTAAATAACACACTTTGAAACTCATCGACATGTCAAAATGAAAGAGATAGGCAAGCAATGAACTGAGCACTATAGGAAGACGAAGAGGAATGGACAAGAAATTAAGCAAAAGGATAAAGCTCTTGCAAAGTTGGATGAGTTAAATAGGTGTTCTCAAGAAAAGGAAGAGTCAACTCAAGAATAAGACACCACAAATTTTTCCATCAAGAATAATCTAGATGAATTACAAACTTCTAAGTCTACAGTTAGCAGTCAAATTTGGAGTTGTCAGTTCAATTGTAAATTATAATGCCAACACTATATGTCAGATAAATAACCCCAGTTGGTGCTAACCCAAAGGATAGTGTTGGTTTTGTTGTTATTTACACTAGTGCAGATATTGGTTCAGCAACTTTATTTACTGTTTTCTTTTTCTTTTCCTACTTGTATTTTGTATTTCCTTGTGTGGGTTTTGGTTTCTCCTCCCACCATTTGTATTTTAATATGTTTTATACAATCTTGTAGATGTGGTATAGATGATTGGTATAGGGTGTGGTGCTAACCTAACTGGGATCGCACTATGCATTATGATGCCTTAGCACATTATCCATTATTAATTTTATTTTTATTTTTATAGATTTGTAGATTTAGTATTATTAGAAATTATCATGTGATATGTTGATATATTAATTTATAGTGTTAATGGATGCGTGACTTTGACATATCAATTTTTTATTTATTACAAATTGGGTATAAAAAATTAAAAGAAAAAAAATACACACAACATTAGTTTGTATGAGAACCGATGTAGTTATGTGCACTGTTTATATACATCAGTTTTAGAACTGATGTAGAATGTCTCACATATTCTACGTCCCTTGAATATACATCAGTTATAGAACTAATGTAAATTGTCCAAACAAACTGATGTAAAATGTCCCTTCTATAGTAGTGTTTACAAAATTCCTTTACGTACTTGAGTCTTTCATAGGCTAATTCTACTCACACTTGAACTATACATCTATAACTTAAGCCTAGGTTATCTCAACACTAACTCACATCCCAGAATAGGTAAAATAGCAAAAAAGATCGCAGATAAATACATATATCACAAATATACACATTTATGAAAAACATGTTGTTACAAAGGCACTCACTACTCATATTTATTATTCTTTAAATTTTATTTTTTCATTTTTAATTTCATCATTTTTAATCCCTAATTTTTCACTCACCTTCAATAATGTCTTCATTTGAAACAAGGCTGTGAATTTGTTTTCAAGGAATTGTTTGAAAATGTATGATTTGTTGATTTTATGATGATGGATCAATTACAAACAATATATTTTTATTATACGTAAATATATTTTAGTCCCTTAGATATGAAGTAAATTTAGTTTGATCTCTTAAATTAAAATTAATTTTTTTAGTCCTTTAAATTAGAAAAATCTAATTTTAGTTAATTTGTTCAAATATTGTTAGTTAAATTGTCAAATAAACCTTATCTATTACTGAACTTGTTGTACAAAATTTACCTACTAGTGTCTTTATTAGTGAATGCATCATAAATTTTGGATGTATATTTCTATTTTTCTGAAAAGTACTTTCCAAAAATGCATTTTTTTAAAAATTTTGTTAGCTAGTAATTTTTAAAAGTGTGTTATTTTTTACTCTTTCAAGAATTACTTTTTAGAAGTATGTTTTTACTCAAAAATACATTTTGGAAGTATAATTTTAATATTCTTAAAAGTACTTGATAAAAGTATGTTATTTTGATTCTTCTGAAAAGTACTATTAAAAATTTTACATTTACTATTACAGAGAGTGTTCTCTAAAAATATATAATTCTAGAAAATATTTTTTAAAAGAGTAAAATATACTTTTGGGAAATTTTTGGCATAGTAAAGTTGAAGGTTATTTGGGGAAAATAGACTCGGGAGATATATTATCAATGAATAGTATATTTAACAAAATCTTCTTTTTAGCATCATAATTTAACAAAAAATATTTTAAACCATATGCTCAAATATCATTAGTGAATCTATAAAAATAAATTTACCTATTACTAAATCTATTGCACAAAATTCGATAAAATAGTACTTTTAATAATAAAAACATCATATTAAAAAATTAACTAATGTTGTAATATTGACCCAATCTATTCATGGTCTTGATGGACTTAAAGAAGCTTTTATTCAAATTATAGAGACTAAAATTATCAAATTTAAATTTGAGATTAGAACTAAATATCTCTTAAATATAATAAGAAAATAAAAATATATTTAAAACTAAACTTATTTATTAAATTGAGTTAGACTACATAGTACAAACAAAATAATTAATTCAAGTGGAATTATACTTTATTCTTGAAATAAGACTTAATATTCTAGCATATCAAACACAAAGACTCAAGGTTTACATTTGACAATGACTTGATGGAGTAAAATATTCTCTATTAATTTTTTTCTAAACTGAATGAAGTTACGAATAATAAAAACCAACAAATTATAATTTCTAAAAGGTTATTCATATAATATCAATTTCCAAATGAAGAATTACCAATGATTAATTGTAAAACTTCCCGAAATCTCGTAATTAGACCATTTTTGCTATTAGACTAAATTCGTGTTGTGCTTTCTCTTAACAGCATCACAAATGAGGTTGAGTGATTGCTCTAAATCATCACAAAGCAGGTAAGGATCCGGAATGACAAGTGGATCCACTGAAAGAGAAATAGTCATCTTATTCGCATAACTTTGGAAGTGAATGGTCAATGCCTGCCAAAGAAATCAAAATGGGTGCGCATTATTTAAGTGACCTCTGCAAGTAAAATACCTTTCATAAATTTTTTTTCCATGAAATAAATAGAGCTATATATGTAGCAAGTTAGCTCATGCATGAATAATTGTGAATTATTCAACACTTACTTGTGGGTGTCCATATACACTAGGAGCAATGTATTCCACAGGATGACCATAGAAGCTAATTTCTTCCACGGGACCAGGCACATTAGAGAAGGCTAAAGTAGTGTGAAATAGAACTCTTCGTGTTATGGCAGCAGCAACCTATACGCAAATAAAAAATGTAAGAATATTTTACAAAAGATGAAGAATACATGAAGTAATATTCGTTATTTCATCAATTTAAGCTTTCTTTGAAGTGGTTTAGCATGCAAATACTTATCAGTTATACTAGTTTTAGGTTGTAAATAGAAGACTAGTACAAAGCTATACAGAAGGTTCTGTCAATGTGTACCTTAACACCTAATAAATTGTGTACCAAATTTGCACAAGCATAGGAGCAAATTGCTTCCAACGAGTGCTTCTTTCGATCGATGTTGGCCTTAGCTTGATGAACATATTTCAATGGATCTTCATGCAAACCAATAGAGAGAGGGAGGATGATGTATCCCAAGCAATTACCCCATTTGACTTTTGATTTATTGGCCATCATATTAGCTAGATCCTAATAAACAAAATGTTTGAGTTAATAAACACTGACAATGATTCATTAGTTAGAAGTTAGAACTTATTTTATCTCTCGAAAGAAAAATTAACCAAAAGATATTAGAAAACTAAATAGAGGATAGTGTAATCCACTTAATATATGAATTATGCAATGTTTGTGATTATAAGTTGGATGTGTTTGGATAAATTTCTCCAAAAGTACTTTTAGAAGAGAAAAATAAAAAGAAAAAAATAAGTTTCTTCATAAAATCAAATTAGTTTATGCATGAATTAAAAATAAAATTTTAGAAAAATAATAGAAGAGAATTTGTATAAATTAGTTTATGCTTTCATCATATGATATTAAGGGCCTGTTGAAGTAAACTTAACAAAAAAAAAAAATACTTCTAGGGGATCAAAATAAGGAAAAATGAATTAAACTTTTTTATAAATTAAAATTAGCGAATTAAACTTTTCTATAAATTTAAATTAGCTAATTTTAATTTATAAAAAAGTTTAATTCATTTTTTCTTATTTTGATCCTTAGAAGTATTTTTTTTGATAAGTTTATTTCTAAAGAACCATAATATCATATGATGAAATTATAAACAAATATATCAAAATGGAATAACCATATTTGAGACAATAGGGAAACATTTAGTTTGATAAAAAACAGAAATATACTTCATGATAGATAGATATTGAGTTATGAAAGACTCCATACGGTTTTGTATTTAAACTATTATATGGAAATTCCATTTGTTTTGAAAATGTAGTTTCTATATCATAGATATATAGAAAAGGAAATCCCAAGTGGATATCTTATATAATTCAATTACCAAACTCACCTCTATTCCACCAACAGGTCTAATGTTAACAAGAACGGATGCCCTGAGGCGAATTTTCTTTAGGACACCAGATTTCTGCCTCGCTGCATGGTTATTTTCATCTGTGCCTGTTTGGAGAACAAGTAGCAACGCGTTATTGAAAAAAATGGATTCGTATTATTTTCTTTTCTCTTTACTTTTTAATTACAAATAATTTGAAATATATATTATGGTTAATGATAGCATGAAGTTCAAGAAGGCTGCAACAAAAATAGAACCTTACCATATATATGCTCGATTCAAGTAGCGAGTGAGAGCAGCTTGTGTTACCCCTAACAAAACATCATTGATCGTCTAACAAAGGAAAAATGTCAAACTACAGATCCTTTTCATTTTAGGGGGAGAGTTTCGTTTTAATAATTATAGTATTTTTACATGCAAATACAACAAAAGAAGAAAAGTGAAGATTTGAAATAATATGTTATGATCTATAGACCATTTAAGTTGTGAGCAACAAAGAATGCGTAGTTAACGAGGTTCAAGAAGAATAAAGTCTTAAACAACTGAATGAAATCAAGTGGGAACGTATGTTTAAAAAATGTAGTCTAATAATGAGGATAGATAAACAGAGCATACCATTCAAAGTTTCTTCCATTAACGCTGTCTTTTCTCATATATTTTTATACTGGAAGGAATTTATTTAGGTTTTAACTAGACACGCGAGTCTCATTAATGTTTTTTTTAATGTAACAAAAAAAATTAATGTTTTTGGTAAAGAATCTTTTATACCATGAAACAACACAATTAGAGGTGACAAAAATCAGAGCTAAACCGATGGCTCGATGAGTTGGACCGGATCCGGCTAAAAAGCAAATATAACTAAGTCAATTCGGTCTATGATAGGATTGATAAATTTCTGACTTTTTTTTATCATACATAATTTTCTAGCTTGAAAAGTAAACTTGTTTGACTTGGTATTATATATATATATTTTTTTTGCAAAATATATATATAAAAAAACAAATTTTATTTTGTGTAACAGTATTTTTAGAAATATTAATGTTTTTAAATAATTTATTAATAACAAAATAATATTTTGTTACAATTCAGATTATTTATCATAAATCTAAACTAAAATTTATATGTTTAAAATTATTTATGTATACTAATTAATTTTAAATACAATTTATATATTCAAACATAATATATATATATATATATATATATATAATTTATTACAAATTTTAATTATGAATAATAAACATGCATTCACATTACCAGATTAAAATACTAATTAATCTTTAAAATTAAAAAATGTAAATTACGTTTTTGAAAGAACAAACTTATAATTATATTAGTAAAATACTTAAAAAAAATATGATTATAACGACAAAATTAGAACTTATTTAACATTTTAAAAAAATTGATATTTGTTAGTTTCAAAATTAATACGAGAATATAACGACTTTTATAACGAGGGACGAAAAGCTGTATGTACCCTAAAATATTGGGGTGAAACTGCTTAACACATGACAAATTCCTTTGAGAACGAAGAAGAAGAAAAAGAGAGAAGTTACCGCATTGAATTCATTCTTCACTCGCTTGATATCATCCATACTAACCGTGCGATACACGAAGCGCTTGTTATTGAACTCAACCCCAGGTGCACCTGTAAGAGGAGTAGGCGTATCTTTAATGAAGAAAATGGTGAACGTGAACAACAGCAAGTCCACCACAGTGTGCAAAATCAGAAGCAGACCCCACCAAACGGCGAGGAGCCACCAAAAGGGGCTCGAGCGGTGGTGCGAGGGACGCTTCTGGTTGGGCACGGTGGGCAACGCGTCGGGGTCAGAGGCTTTGCGAGTGGCGGCAAGAAGGAGCGAGATGAGAGAGGCACCGTCCCCCATGGAGTGGTGAATCCTGAATATGCCAACACTTTCTGCATCTGAGGTTTTGATGTTGAGGAGGTGCACTTCCCATAGTGGCTTCGATAGGTCCAGTGGACTTTTTGTCAAATTTGAGATGTAGTCTTCCACGAATCTGTCTGGCTGTTCTATGTTGGAATCTATTTCTGGAACTATCATGTGGTTGTCTAGGTCAACTGTTGTAGGGATCCACTTTGTTTTTCTTCCCTTCTTAACCTGAGGATCCAAAAACACACCCAAGAACATGCTTAGCTTAGGTCAGTCTAATCTCTTTTTTTTTTCTTTTCACTTTTTAAAATTTTTATAGGCAAAACATAGCTATTGTAAAAAAAATTGTTTTTTTTATTAAATATTTGACTAAATTAGTCTTTTAGTCTTTATTTTTTTTTAATTTAGTTAGATCAATGATTTAGTTTTAATTTAGTTTAATATTTATTCTTATATATACTAAATAATTATTATTATCTTAAACGAGGGTATTTTTAAAATTTATTTCTAAGTAAAGTGGTTTTAGACACTTTTGTTTAATAAGAGATGTTTCAAGAAATTTTTTAATTTTTTATCTATTTTAATTTGTATATATATATTATTTCTATTCTTGTATATAAAATTATTTTCACTTTTTACATGACTCTATTCTAATTGTCTGGTGCGCTAATTATATCTTTTTAAAAATATTCTGATGTAAATAACAATTCTTTTAGTCAAGATAATAAATGTTTTAAATTAGTTGGATAAAAATTTTATCTTGCTTATTAGAATTGAAGAAGATACATAGTATATAGGCATGGCAACGGGGTAGGGCGGGATCGGAGCGGGTTTTACGTATGGCAACGGGGCGGGGCGCGGGCGAGTTTTACGTTCCCCGCTCCCGCCCCCGCCCCCGCCCCCGCAAATTTAAATCATCCCCGCTCCCGCCCTTGATATCCGTCCAGGGTAAAATCTAGGTCCTCATTCCCGTCCCCGGCGAGGTTCGGGTTTCCCCGCCCCTGCCCCCACTCCTATTTTTTTTTCTTTTTTCTTTTAAATAAATATGAACAATTTTAAAAAAATAAAACAAAAGGAAAATAATTTAAATTTTTACATATAAATATTTCTAATTTTAGTTTATATATATAAATAATTTTTTAATTAGTATTAACATTCCCGTCCCCGCCCCCAATTTTATCAATCGGGAAAAACTCGAACCCGATAAACATAGGTTTTTTCCGTCCAAATCGGGGCAAGTTTGGGTGGTACCCACGAGGACGGGTTAGATTGCCATGCCTATTAGTATACATAGATATTTTTCTCTTCCAAATATTAATTAATTATAGGTGAGAAATTATGAAGTAAAAAGATAAAATGTTAATTTAAGAGAGATCTTAAGGGAAATTTTGGAAAAGTAATTTAAATTATTGAAAAATTTAATGTTCTTAACTAAATTAATTAATTTTCTTAAATAGTGTAATTTAGTTGAAATGTTCTTATAATTAGGAACGAAAGTAGTACATAATACATATTTTTAATTAAATTTAATAATTTTAAAATAAGTTATCAATAAATTTATATTTTATCATAATATAAATTATATTTTACAAATATAAAATATAATCTCTATGTCTAAAAATATTTATTTGTATAAATTTTAAATTAATATAATTGATATATTAAAATATATAATATTTATGTATAGTATATTATAAATTTTTTATATGTATAATAAACATTTAGGATGTGCAATATATGAACCACAATAGTAGTTTATTCTAAAAAATAAAAATATATATAAAAGATAAAGCGGTCCACCCCATATCCTTATATTCTCTTGTATAGGCTAGGTATAATTAGGTTAACTTTGACTCGTGTTATAAATGATCTTGTATATTTTTATACCAGTGCAAAAAGTAGATACAGCATAGAGTTATAAAATTAGTTGTAAGGTAACTAAATTTATATGTGACGTGGTGGGAAGATTAAATTCTTTTAGAAAACCGTCTAAATCCATTATAAAATAACAAATTTAGTAGCTACTTTTGAAATTGGATTTATGGTTAACATTTTTAAAAGCATCTATGAGAATGACTTTCTAAACTGGTTCCATTATAACTGATTTAGAATAGTGCTTAAGATATCTAAATTCGCACTCCCCGGAGATGCTAAGACTAGAATTCATATAATTTCTATGAACATTTAGTTTGAGATGCTTATAAATAAAAATTGAATGTCATTCTTGTTGGTCAGTTATGATCCCTATGTCTATCTCAAATATCATATTAAATGATGATAGCATTAAGAGAATGAACAAAAATACATGTCTTTAAAGAATATATATACTTGTAAAAATCAATTTGTTTGAATGATCTTATAGTGTCTTAGATGTGTGTCTTACGTTACTCTAATAAAACAATCCCAAAGTGCAGAAATGAAATTAAAAAATATTTCAAAAGTCAAAATGTTCCTTTAAATAAAAATATATTTTAAAAAATTTACGTATTTCAAAAAGTCAAAATTATTTGCTAAAATTGAAAAATCATTTTGTTTTACTAAAGAAAAATATTTTCTAAGACAGAAAAATAGAAATTTCAAAAACTCAACAACGAATTTGTCACAATCAAAAAAAGGGGTATTGTTAGGTCAAAATACGATCTTGGATCCTGCAAAATTTAAAATTTTAATGTTAACAAACAAAACTTTTTTATGTGAGAAAATATTTTCAAAAATGATTATTATCAGATGAAGTGTAAGACACAGATCGTCCATAAGACAATGTGAATCAAACGAAGCATATACATTATGTCTCATATAAATTAAATATTCATTATTTATTGAGACTAACAATAAAATTCATTTGAATGTTTTATTCCTTAACAGGTCGAACAAGAAAATTATCTTGAAAATCACAAGTCCATTAGAGAGAACAAAATCATGTTTTTCATCAAAACTAAGGACGAAGATCCCTGAAAACATGGAGAAAAACATATAAAGATGTTGTTGATGCTCTACACTAACATTGCTTTTATGAGCTCCATATGGTATGAAAAAATGATAAGTAGCTTTCTTAATTAGATAAGAGATATCATTTGGTGAAACACACTAATGCTTGCATTAAATGAGTTAATTGTTACCTCTTATTACAAGGAAAGACGTTAAAAACAAACGAAACATACTTGTGAGTTGGACTTAGTGTTGAAGCGATCATCTTCAAAACTACTATATAAGAAAATTTGAAGTTCAAAAACACACACAAGAAGACACATAGAGACACACTCTGTAAATTATACTTGTGTATAAACTTCATTCCTTCTTGTACAAAGCTTATTGCACTATATTGATTGTATAATGTCTAAATGAGATGACATAACATCTTTGAAACCTTTATAACCATTATTGTAAAGTTGAGCCTAAAGAGACTTGTGTGTAAAAAAATACTCAATTATTAAGCCTAGAAAGACTTGTTTTTGCAAAAGAATACTTGGTTGTTAAGCTTGAAGAGGCTTGCTATGGAAAGAATACTTGGGAAGTTGCTTGAAGAGGCAAGTCAAAGAATACTTAGGATTAAGCCAAAAGTGACTTGTTGAAAGAATACTTGTATCTTTGTTTAAAGATAGTGGAACTCAATTCAGTTAGATTGAAAATTGGACGTAATCTTGATAGTTGACACAAACCAGTATAAATATACAAAATGTTTCTTCTGACTTCTCTTTGTACCCCATTTGACTAGCATTACTACTTTACTATGAAAAAGTGAAGTTTTTTTATATAAATTATTCAAGCCCTTTCTGGTGTCTATCTTTTCTCCACAATAATGAATAACCAAATTTATAAGAAGACTTTTATAATTGGTTCTCACCCGATTTTAAAAATTTATACTCAGTAAATCGACTATTACAAAATCAGAAAGATAACATATTGAAATATTTAAAATAACTAATTTTAAAAGTCTTTTTTGCATTAGTGTTAGTTCTAAATTTGGTTTGTGAATTTTTAGTTGTTCCTCCCCCACTCTTTATTTTTTTTTATCAAAATTTGAGGATTTTGTTATATATGACAAAAATATATATTAAATTAAAATAAAAAAGAGCAAAATGATAGTTTTTTCTCATCATGTTAATGGTATATTTAGAGTGGTCTTTTAAAAAATCAGGGAATGGAGAGCAGATATGGGTTTTGGTGAAAGGGCCATCAAGCAATGATATGACCTTATTTAAACAGAGTAACCAGGAAATCAAGACGAAGAAGTGCAACACTTCAAATTTTATAAAAATAATAAAAGGATATTTTAATTAAATGTGCTTTATAAAATAAATAAATATGCCATTGAAAAGTAATTAAAATGGTTTTATTAAATGAGAAGGTTTGTTTAAAAATAATATTAAAAATATGTACTTTTAAATTAATTAAATATGTTTTATAAAATTATGATGAGTTTTGTGAAATTATAATATTTAGGCTTTAGGCCACATGTTATGAGATCCTTTGATGCCATATGCATATAATATAGTGAAGTCCATGTCTATTGCATTAGTGTAATCATGAGTATTATTGATAGACTGATGTTCAATTGTGTTGATCAAGTTCAAGAAGAAAAAGTGATGGAAATCTAATTCCCAAGGATCCCTTTGGAAGAGGTACGACCAAGAAGGGTGAAGCTTGATCCATAGGAGAGCTCAAACTTGAAGACTATTGGGCCTTTAACTAGGTCCATGGTTAGGAGGGCTAGATGAGGCTTCTACAGAGGAGGTGCTTCTTAGACCTATGCTCAGTATGAGCATTGAGTATGATTCCTCTTTTTAGTCTCATAGTCTTTATTGTACATACATTGTATAGTTTGAGTTCTTGTACCTTGTATATAATAGATACTTGTATAGGTGTATTTTGCCTTTATATTCGTAAGACACCTTTTCCTTTTCTTATAGGTCATCCCTTTAGGATTTTATGGTATGTTGTTTGGAGACTTTTGCTCCATTTGACCTTGTACTAAGGATCATTGATTTTCATGTTTTTAGTAGTAGTAGTGGGGTGACAAATAGTAAAGTGAGTAGGTGAAGCTAGCAATTGGGCCTGTTGTGGGCCTAAGCTAATTTTTACATATTAGGCTTATTTTGCTCCATTTAATACAAGGAATTGATTTAGTTAGGTCTCACCCTCATTAGGTGAATCTAACTAAACCAATTCCAATGGGCCAGGAGTTGGTCGAGAATACTCATTGCGATCTAGAAGTGGCTAAGTAAAGA